ACGTAATTTATTACTTAAAATACTTCTTAAAATTTTTGTAACGTCTAAAATACCAAATAACACAGTAAAGGCCTATAAATGTGGTATAGCTGACTTGGCGAGACTCCAGCCGATATTTCCTTGACCAGTAAAATTGTTTGTAACCGAAACATAAAGCTTTCAACTAAATCCGACCCTGAGAACACAATAGCCAAGTTAGTCTACAGCGTTTCTTCAACAACGGCTGCATTTTTAAAAGATTGATCATGATATGCTTGTTAATAGGAAATAACGGGGCGAAAAAGATTGTTAGCAATGTGGAATTGTTAAATACTCCATGTCAGGATGACTCCCACGCGTTTCGCCCTGGAAACCATTGTGATAATCTGGTGGTGAATTTGTCACGTTTAACTAACCTGACGTTGTGTCCATCTTATCATCTTCGATTGGTGCTCCTCCAGCACAAACTTTTAACGCTGGCGGGTGTACCATTCCATTATGATGAGTAAAAGAAAAGAAATAACTAGCAGCTTACATCGACTTTACACAGATGAGCATTGCATTGTCGTCATCAAAATCAGTCTAGCCGTTTCAAGGATTCATAAGAAAGACAAACAATTTTTTAAATTATTTTTTTGACTTAATTTCCTTATATATACTTTCATATGCATTTAGTGAAAAACTGTTAATTTAAAATTCATTTCAAACAGTCACTTCAGTTTATATTACTATTCTGATAATACAAACCAAACTAAAAAAGGAGAATTGGAGTAGACTTACAAAAAAAATGTAAACCTTGAACTGATTGTAAAGTTACAAGAAAAATCGTGACTTATCCATATCGTGTCTCACGCCTTCACTTATGCTCTTATCTGAAATGCATCTGCCTAGTTGTCAATTTCGTAAGTATTACACAAGAAAGAAACAGATAATAAGGGCGTATGTAATAATATATCACTTATGCTTGCTTCATGTTATTTTTTTTATAAACGAGCTTGCGACTCACCTTATGGCAAGCATCCGTAATACCAAAAGAATCGCAAGTGTGTTGCCGGGCTTTTAAGAACGACTAAATTATTTTCTTGAAGATTTCAATATTGTGTCGGTTCGGAGTTACTATTGCTGGAAGGTGATTCCACAATATGGTTGGTTATGGTATTTTTGTTACTAGCGGATGGTACGATGGTGAGCATCTGGTATTAATCCAAACAATTCCTCAGAACACTCACTGTGATATATGCGGTCGAAAATGTCCATATATTTTCAACCGCATATATCACGATTACAAATGTTAGTGCGAGAATCGAACCCGCAACCATCGGAAGGCTAAACCGCCAGACTACTGAGGCCGTCAACAATAAAAATATATTTTTTTAAATAGTTACAATCGAGTTGTTTCTGAGTCTTTGTTAAAATATGGTACAATTTTAAAAAAAATATATACCATTATTAGCTATCCATACACGTCAAATCTACGTTAATAAGCGTTTATTAATAATATTTAATTCTTAATAACAATAAGTACATCAAATAAAGTCAAATATGTTATATTTTATAAGAAATTAAATCTATAATATAAATGAAAAGACATTAAAATTATATTGCGAACTTTCTCCATTACGCAGTGACAGTTAGTCTAAAATAGTTGTTACAATTGTGTCACAAAAAATTACCCGTCAATATTTTCAACAACTTTTGAGGATCAGTGTCATTTCATTATACCATGTAGCACAGAGTAGCATAGCTAGGAGGTCGATTAATCTTAGCTGTATTAGAGAGGGCATTGATCTGTGGTTAATGTAAAAAAAGTTTTGGTTTAACGAACTTCATCTTTATAGTACATAAGTACAATAATGTATAACTAGTGGTCACCCAATGGTCGAAATTTGACCAGATAAAATTTAAATTATAAGTTTAAACATTATTGAGGTTCTAGTGTCAAAGACTTCTATGCATGTGTATGAGTTAAATACATTGTAGTGTGTGTTTTTATTTTTTATTACTTTAATGTATTTTTTATGAATAATCACAAAAATATTAGCATTCTGTTCTCCTTCTCTATATATACGTGTACCATGCAAAAAATATAACTATGCGCAATTTCATACTCCATCCGCACAATTTTCGTAAAAAAAAGTACAGTTTTTGACTCACATATACATATATACGTATATATTTATTTTATTTATGATTAACTAAAATTTAGTTAGAGTTAGTATATATATTTTTACTATAAATTTAATGTAAGCATTACGTCAAGATTACACGAATACTACGTACGTTGCTAGTACTCTCAAATTCACGTATATGATTGTTATTGAACTCATTTATCGTACCAACGTAATAAAACCTATATATGACGAAAGTATCACGAACGAATTTTTCACACTTTCCTGACGTAATTCGCTTCATTCAATTTCAACCATAATGATCCATGGAGAAATTATTTCTATAAAAGACAACGATCTGGGTATCATGATTTAGAGAAGTAAACGAAATAGAAAGTCCGGTTTGTCTTATAAAGACAAACCGGATAATATACATACACAATTTTAAGAAATAATAAACAGCTTTGTTATATGTATAGAAAGAAAGACAGAAAAAGAAATGAAAATATAATGGAAAAAAATCTTCGCCGTTTTACATGTTTTTTTAAACTTTATTGACGAATAAAATACAATATAAATTTATTTACTATTAAATTTTTTTAAATATTACAATACCATAACAGATAATACAAATCGGCGCTGCGTTGCAACTTAGTACATTATAAAGATGAAATTAATAACACAGTTTAATCATTATAGAAATTCTAGATATTTTTGACTTTATTCGAAAATTCTCTGTCAGTCTCTACTTAAAAATTATAAAATGCCATACTTTAGTATTCTCCATGCAAGAAATGGAACATAAAGAAATACTGAAAAATCATCATAACAATATTATGACTATGACATGGGAATAGATCTCTCCTATTAAGAGGAAAATTTAATGTACTAAATGGATTACTCTTCTCAGCATAAGCTGAGAACAGTGTTTCCTATAAGGTTTTATATCAAGGTTACAAAGTCAAAGGTAAAAATAACCATATTTACGTACAAAAATACCAATGTGAAAGAACTAGATAGTCAACTCTTACTGTGACCTAGAAGCAAAAGGAGTGGTGACACCATAACAGATTCATACATGGTAATGATATGTAAAAAAGGTAACATAAAAATATGCAAAAGATGATTGATGAATCGTAATATATAGAAGAGTGAGTAGTGTGATGGCGAAGTCAATAACGCTAATAAAAATAAGAAGAAAATATACTGAGCGACCTTATATATATTTGACAGAAACAAGTATACATACATAAAGAACAAAAATAGATTACAAAAAATAAAAAATAAACAGTTGACCGCTTTAATATTATTTCATTGGAGAGTTTCACAGAGGTAGACTGTAAAAAGACTGAGTAGGTACCTCAATTTTACTTATTTCAGACGAAATAGCTTGCTATGTAAGTTATGTTTCGATTATAGGATGCAGATTAGGCAGTGAATTTACAGGACAAGAGGCCTGAAATCACGGGTATTATAGGATAAGATGATGCCCGTAATGCTGATCATTTATATAGGCGTTATCGTCTGCAGGTAGGCCGACAGATTGTTTGCCACTGCATTTCCATAAAAAGCTACCTTATCAGCGAAACTACCTAATAAGAGCGTTATATAGTTATTGTATGAAAATAGAGATTCCAACAATTGCGTCCGTGCAAAGACAGGGCGGGTCGCTGGTGAATTATCTGATTTTGCACAGAACTCAACCCGGTTACTTCGAACATCGAACTCCGAGTAACAGAATATTACGCGTGACAGACCACTCGACCTCTACCTGCATGGCTCTAATTGATTACCTACCTACCTACCTAAATTGCCGTTATTTTCTTGGAAAGATGAGGCTGTAGATGGTGTAGGACAGGCCTGTCTCGTTATTAGAGCGACCTGTATTACCCTCAATATTTTTATACCCCTATCCAGAAGTAATCCAGATGACAAAACAACGGTTGCGGAGTCTAGTAGAAATGTAATAGTAATATAATATAATATATACGTATTGTAACACGTAAGTAAAACATATTTATCCATATAATCCCCGTGCACGAACCTAATGTATTATATTATATCGACTTAATTCCATAATGAACCTTGAGTTTATTAGCTTAATTACACATTCACTTCGTTATCAATGTAATCAGTGCAGTCTAAGAATGATAACATTTTTATTTATGGATATAACGCAAAAACAATCATTTAAGATTTTCCTTTACAAAAATAAACAATTTCAATCTTCATATAATTATTACGGAGACAACATTTAGATTTGGAGACTTTTATTAAAATAAAATTATTAAAAACATAAAGATACAAAATATTTCGTAATATTAGAAACAGTAAACAATTTGTTTATTATTTTTTACTTTGTTATTATTCAGTTGTCAATTATGAGACTAGGTAGAGATAGAGGGAAAGCGGAGTAGGTAGAGTCATATTATGAAATGTAGGTATAACATCCAGACTCGGTAGATTTTGCTGTGATTTTTAAATCAGACGAGATATTTGTTTGTTAGCAAAACATAGAGCTATAGCCATATCCTAGGAAGAGAATGGGGAGAAGCCATTTTTTTTGACCCAGTGGTAAGATATTTTTTGGCTGAAATAGGATTTTTAGAAATTGTATCGTACCTTTATGAAATTCTAACTAACTAATAAAAAACTGTCTATAAAATATTTTTTAATTATTCGTTCTCAACATATAGGTTGGCTATCATACACAACTAACCAGCAGTTCAACAGACTTTGGTTATGGGTATTTCCTCATAAGAGTATTTAACGTTTTATCTAGTTACGGATAAGATATTATTTCAAGATATTGTTTTTGTTTCCCCTTTTCCATTGATGTATTTGTATACTTATAGAGATCGACCGTAATGTAGGTAATGGTTGGTATCTAATATAATATATTTATGTACTTACGGCTTATTTCCATAGCCAAGGTAGTCGTCACACAAACACCCATAATAACGTAAGCGTATTTACTTGTAAAAACTGTAAAAACCCAATATGCAAACACTCTAATTATTCCAAATAATGTTTTAAAACTGCGTATTAAAGTTTAAAATATCTATTAAAGTTTATAAATAATCCTTTAGAATACTGCGAAATTCCAAAGAGTTTTCACTGCACAATTTTTCCTTCCGTACGTAGTGATGTCTATCATCGACATATAATACGAAATCTCATTAGCGAAGTAGTAACCATCGATAAGGGCTGTGAAGCCAGACACAAATCACACACATTCCATAATCAAATTAACAGTCACATTCCTCATTATTTAATCGAATTTTTCTCCAATAAATACAACACTGGCTATATTATTTTAATTCAAAATGAACTCTTTGAAAATAAGAATAAGTTATTATTTCAATTGTAACCGCCCGATACGCAGTACCACTCGACAGTGCTAACAAACGTCGACTGGTGCGAACGTAAGACGTCTTGCTTTAGAGCAAGTGTCTCTCAAACTTTACAATCACATTTTAGGCGAATAATATTATTTCATTACATAATAATAATGTATAATATTAACATTATTATATCTTCATATATTCTATTCTTCTTCAGACATAAATAAAGATGTTAGAAAGATAAACATTTATAATAGTACTTAGACAATACGTATTTTCCCCAGTATGCCTCAAAATATTTACTTAAATCTAATATAATATGATTTAATTATATTCTAACACTCTAAAGATTAGATATTATATCATGTCATAAAATTATAGAGCAAATCAACACATTTATAATAAAGGCAATTCTAGACTAGCAAGCCCCTCTATTTCCTATTAATCTCATTACAGTTTTCTTTAGTATTCTACAAACTTACTTAGAGTATTCTACGTCGTTTTTGTAATCTAAATCTAAGTATTTGAGCCACTTTTGATATTGTTAGTCAGTTAGTAAACTATTGTTAGTCTAAATTAACCAAAATGTAATAATTACTTTATTGTTGCAATGTCGTTATAAGAATTCTTTTAAAAACTCTTTAATATTTTAGTAACGTTTATAAACGTAAAACTATTATATATATATATAAGCAGTTAAACTTGTTGAACCTCAGTTCCATAGACCTGTTTTATGCAACGCGTTTGTTCTTTTTTCTCCGCTCTCGATCCATTGTAGTCCACAAAACCGCATTTTTTTCGTTCCATATTTTTTATAACACAACACGCTCCGAGTAAATTTGATTTCAAGCCTTTTCAAATTTGAACCCTAGGTCGCGATGACAAAAAAATATAATGTTGAGAAACGCTGCCTGCTGTGATTGCGAAGTGTCATCAATACTGTTATTAAGTAGGCCATTTTAATTATATTTACTTTGGAAAATAATATCATTAAATAATGTATTCTCTGCATATGCATATGTGCAGGATGCGTATCCAATTATCAAAATACAGATTAGGTGGCAAAATACATATAAGGTTTTTATTTATTGTACAAGCATGAAATTAGGTTTAATGAAATAAATACTATAATTATATGGGCGCAGATGACAATGCCTTTCTTTTTCATTGTAGGCAGAGAAGACCATTTAGTTATTGCGATTCAATACTTGAAGTATTTTTTTCAATCACTTGGTTTATTCATTGTACCAATTGTTTTGAATAATTTGTATATTAAATGCCATATGCTGGAGATTGATATATTTTAACTTATTATTTAAACAGATATTATGTGCGCACAACAAATACGACAATATAAACAAAACTATTGCAGAGAAACAAGTCTAAAAATATTGAAAAAAGAGACCATGTAAGGGTTTATGGTAAATAAGTCAAATAGGAGGTTAGTTAGAACAAAATATTACGATATTAATCCCTTTCTACAGAATATGAGATTATAAATTAAACTCTATTTTTATCTGGCTTAGGATAAAAAATACAGTATCCTTCGTGAAGTGAGTTGAAAAGCTACGTAACATAAAAAAATTCGACTCTAAATACATAGCACTAAAGTTATTTCTGCATTTATAATGATTACAAACAGGAACCTATTTCCGACCTTCCTCACAGGCTTGTGATGTAATATTTACGTAACCCAATCCGCTCGATAGCGTCCCTAGTTGTCCAGGGTTGCCAACATTAAAACGTTTAGTCTCGTAGGTAGGTACGAATGTATAAAGAAACTGATAAAATATATATATATAATTACATTAATTATTAATACAATTTAGTTCTCTAATATCGTAAGTGTATCTTCGTATTAATACCGTCAAAATGTCGTAGAAACTTTTGCGAGACACAAAAATTTCTCGTACCGAAAGCCAAAAATCTCGTAATTGTACGAGATTTCTCTTACGGTTGGCATCCCTGCTGCTGACCCAGACCGAATTTATCTCGGCACACGAGTCGAGCGGGCGCCAGCCGTGGCCTATAGAAGTCTGTGGATGACCTATATTTCCAATAGTAGAGTTTTATTGGCCTACTAAAAATAGCATAACATGACGGAAAAATAGAGGTGTAATAACGTCAAACGTTTGTTTATTCGCAAGTCTGTCTGTAACATCGTAGCTCATAAACAAATGGATCGATTATGATGCTGTATTTTTTACAGCTGACAAACTAAACTATTGGACGTTTTCTTATTCAGGGTACATATATAATATTGTATTTAAGGGGCTGTTCTTGTCATCGGGTCAACCGAAACGTAAATTATTATATCTATTCGCCACGGGACTGTCCACATGGACTGCAGCCTGTGTTACCTACTCGCTAATATTCTGGCTTATCTATAGGTGAACTAATTTTAAAATCGATCAAGAATATTTAAATTTATTCCTCATAAAGGAAAAATATCCAAGATATAAAATCTTCTCTTCTTTATATACTACTATCTACTCACCCCGGCTTCGCACGGGTGTACCAGTATTATATATATATATAAACCTTCCTCTAGAATCACTCTATCCATTAAAAAAAATCGCTTCAAAATCCGTTGCGTAGTTTTAAAGATTTAAGCATACATAGGGACGGACAGATAGCTACAACGACTTTGTTATGTTATGATAATATAAATAATATACAGATTAAAAATTTCATTCATTTGCTTATTTACTTTATTACACAAAATTATTATAAAACAATTAGAAATAGGTGAGTTAAGCTAAGTTAGGTAGTCTAGTCTGCATGACTTTGAGTAAAGACTAATTTGAACTTTTGGCGAATATTACCATTTCTCTCACGTATAATATAACTACAGCGCCGTTTTCAACCAGTCAACTGACTTACATTTTTTACTGCAAAAGCATTGTTTGCATACATAATGTGGGGCATTATACTTTTTACCATAAAGAAAATATACAAAACCTAACTGTATTATTCAGCAAAAGTAGATAAAATGTACACAAATTCTCTTAAATTATCACAATAATACTTTTCTTCAATGGAAGAATAGCTAAAAAAACGACGAAACTCAATAGGTAAATAGGTTTGTTATATTCAAAACCTTAAATGTATTTTAATGAATAAATAAATAAATATGCATATGGTATATTTAGGTATATATTTTATTCATATTTATCTATAACTTTATATACATTGTATGTATTTGTATATATATATGTTTGTACATGTACTTACTTTTAGTAAATATATATTATTTATGACATAGGTATTATTTTTCTTATTGAGTTACATTTGCACCGCCTACAGTTTCTCTGCACAACCTGTGGTTGACTGGTAGAAAATGCCGTAAGGCGTTAAGTCCGCCACATGTACTTTTACCTTGGTATTTTGTGCATTGAAGTTATATAAATAAATATATATATATATATATATATATATATATATATATATATATGTCACTGCTCTACATAATTTGTCTGCGTCTATTTATTAATTCGTTTTCGTATGTTGTTCTAATTTAGTAATTAGACCTACGTACCCTAATAGAGGTAATACTATAATATATTAAGTAATAAGATCTTTTTCTGAATCGTATATTTAATTTTGCAGTAAGACTGTACGAGTATAGCTATAATACAAAATTATGAAAATTCAAAAAGTTCCCAACGATACTTCGTATGCTTAGGTTGGGGAAAAAATTACTACCAAGTCATAATGTTAATGTTTTACTATCTATAAACATATTACAGCTTATAATGAGAACGGTTCCATTAGAAAGTGCTGTGAGTAATATGAATTAACCCCTAGGGGTTATTAAATTCCCTACTGATATTAGAAATACAAAAGTGTCCGTCTATCTGCCTGTTTGTCAATTTTTTATATTGCGCGACTAAACGGCTGAAAATCATGTTTAGAGAGATTGCAACAAAAACGATTCACTGATTAGTGTTATAGGTAAGAGACAACTGTATCTATAAATAATAATGTAATATTGTAAAGGCAAAAAAATATATTAATTTGAGTTTAATGACATTGACTTAATTACACAATATTTTATCTCATTCTCATTTAAGGATGAGAATGAGATAAAATATTGTGGATTAAACAAAAAAAATTATAGCCAAATTTAAGACATTATCTTAAAGAAGGATGTAAAAAAATAAATTAGTTAACATACCACGTTCTTACTAACTAACCCCTGATATGCGAATTTGTACATAAGAGCTTGTTTACAATTACATTTTTATGCTCCAACTTTCTAACCTCCAAAAAGATTTGTAACGAAAGAAATTCAACCTCGTAAATTTTCACCATTAAATCCACTATCGCGGTCTATGGTTCACCACCCTCATTTAAACATGGAAGGTCAAGGTGAGTGAGAATTATGACCAACATATAAAATTTATGCGAGTCAACTTATATTTCTGGAAGTTCTTCAATCATCTAAACATAGACAATAACCCGAAAAAACTCAAAATCGGCGGTGAGTATATAGACGTTAGCCCTCTTGCTAAATTTAAATTTATTATGGATTAAAATGGAATGGTGCACGTACTATTTCATTTTAATCCACAATAAAAAATAGACAAGATTATTAGTTCAGGTCAAATTCAGCAGGAATTTAACATGATGGTTTCCTTGAAAACCACATGGAGTCAACCTGACATAAGGGTAACCTAAACATAACCATAACTTGACGTAAGAAGGCGGTCATATACCCGTATTATCAACAATCTCCTTCCCTTGATTGATATACCTATATCGAAAGTGTTGCGTTTACCACGATGTCGACATTTCATTTCCACAAGCATAATCCTCAAGTAGATATATGATTTTAATGCAATTTTCTATTTCAGTGACTCTATAATAGTGAATTATTATTTTAACCGCACCATTGCACACGTGAGGACATGCCCACGTGTCATAATAACATGCTTTCATTGTACTGGTTTCTTACAAAACTAGATTGAGGAGCATTTGACAATCGTAACGTCATATAATTATGCTATACCTATAAGATGTGGTATATGTAGGCTTATTTGCCCAGAAGTCAATGATTCCTTCTGAAACAATTACTGATCAGAAGTAGATTTTACAGATACTCGTCTGCGTGGATACCTCAATAAAAACTGCTTCAACAGCTAGCAAGTGAAATTACAGGGTATACCATAGCACGTATAGTCCGGATAATTCCTTCTGGATCGTCTGATAAACTGTAATTCTGGTTTATTAGATTTAGACTTTACATCTGCGTGGATACCTCAATCTAAGCTACTTCAGTAGCTTGCAAGTGAAATTACAGTGTACACCCTCGCACAATTGTCAGGATATCTAGAATGTCAATATGTACTTCATATGATAATGTGATGTCCATATATGTGTATCAGCGACAGCTACCTGTTACAATCAATTGGATAGATAAGTTTTATTCCATTTCAGTTACAATTTAAAAACAACAACGTGTGAATAATTTATTTCTTGCGTATATAGGCTTCGAAGACCGTTTACAATAAGGCGGACTTACCCAATATACCTAAACCACTAAAAACGCTCATACTTATAAATAGAAATGTTTGTGAAATGCGATTATAGAAAACGCGACCATGAGAAGGAATTTGGACGCCAGAAATTATAACGTTTTGATTTTATATCTTGAATAGTGTTTAGGTGTACATTAAGTAATTAATTCCAAATAGTCATATTATAAAACTAAATCAAATTACTTCCTGTACCTTTAACGTATATACGTAACACAACACGAACGTAAGTTGTGCGTAGATTCAAGTAAACACGTATTTACTTAAACATTGCTATTTTTAATTATCAGGCGTCGTAACAAAAAATCCTATGGAAGTCAAACATTAGGTTTATTATTAATACAAAACGTAAACGTCAAAATGTACACAATACACGTAGAAAAGAATTATAAATTAACCCAAAAAATTGTACTACACATTACAAATTATGTATATACTTGAAAAATTTTATTAAAATATCATTGTCAATTTTGGTTTCATTGTTTCGGAAGGAGTAGGGGATACGGGAACGGATTTGGAATCTGTAACAATTGTGTATAAATTGTACTTATTAGGTAAATAACTCTTTTCTGGTATAGAAATCAAAACTTTGCAACGTCTTCCATGGACATCCATAAATTCACGCGTTAAGTCAGACACGCATAAAGGTACAGTCACGGTCGACAAGGAATTGTATAACGAAGGATTTATTATGTAAAACAAAAAATTCTAAGACTCTCTTCGAATCATTCCTTTCTTAGATTATGTGAAGTCACATTTCAATTTTAATAATAAAACATAAAATTTAAAGTAGGTATTATAATTTGATTAAATATGGCTGTTGGAGAGGTAGGAGGGAGCGAGAGAGGAGGTTAACGTTACTTAGGGACCATAATCATACCATATCACATATCACCGTACCATCATCATAATCATATCATAGTATAGGAAAATTATTAAAAAGGAAAGGTCTTTGACATTCAATTTTCTCTGCCTACACCATAAAAACTACAATAAATATTTATAAATCTCTGATATTCTACAATTAGTTTACTATTTTCAAGTTTCAATAGTATGTAAAGTCTAGTTCAGTTACGATTCTAAGAAAACCCTATTCTTTATATGAAATATAGCTAACGTTAGGGCGTGAATAATTATAATGATACCCATAATGTTAAAAATATTTTTAATATATAAATAAAAGTACTTACATAATTTCCTAGAGTAAGGTGTAGGCCTCAACTGCCTGCCGACTTGTATTGAAGCCAGGAGTTGTTCTCTAGGGGTCACCTCTCGGCGTGGTGGTGCCAGTTTGCGTTCTGATGCCTATATGACAGAAACTTACATAAATATATATATAAATGTCAAGGAAGGAAACACAAAAATCAGGAAATAAAGATCACGACATGCCCTATACTAAGTTCTGTAACATATTACATATTTATTAGAGTTACCGTTTTCCATCTAGTGGCCAGTAGCTAGCTTATTATACCACTTAAAACTAAAACAAAACAAAACTAAAATACCACAATTATACAAAAATAAATAACAAATACCATTCTGTTGCTTTAAATAGTAAGTAATATTAAGGGATTGTGACATATATTGAAAGTATGCATTCCGATTGTGGTGTCTGATAAATAATCTCGAAATATTTTTTTATTTTTCATAGTCCTATGTATTTGTCGCCGATAAGTTTTATATATAGTTATACTTAATATAAAGTGATATTATATTTCTATCTATGTTACAAATTTTTACGCTGCGTCCCAAATCAGGTAGGCAGAAAGAATTAAGAATGATTCATAAGCGCTACTGTTGCTTCAGTCTATCCAAAACTCGTATAAGGCATGCTGGCGAGGTATGGAGATTCTTGCCTCCTCCATCAAAGGATATAAGGTTTAACGTTGTTATATTTACCTTTTTAAGTGGAGGTCTACTTCTAATAAATTCGAGAATCATTGCGTGGGCGTCTTTCTTCACACTGCGAAAAAAGAAAATATTTTCTGTATAGCTAACTTAGTAACAAATTTGCTGACTATGATAAATAGAAACGTAGTGCCTCGGTTTTAAAGATTTCCCGTCACATACATAGATAAAAATCTAAACAAATATCATGGTCTTTTACAAATACTGTATATTGACATTGAAATGTATGTATTTTGTCATTACCATACATCTATTGATATACAAAATAACATTATGAAATCTTTACTTACCTCTGAGGTATTGCCCCATCTACTTTCCTAAGGGTGTATCTTCTTGATCTAATATCGTCCATTAAAATTTCATACGGAGTCAATTCATATTCGATAGGTGTCCTAGAGTAGTTAACTTTTTTCAATTTGACTCCCATTCTCAATTCTCCAATTACTTGCATCCAAAACCGCGCCTGTAAAAATACAATAGCTAAGTTACATCGACGAAAGTTTGCTATACCATAAATGGCAGGCGATAAGCCAACAATTGATGTTGATTTTATTTTACGAAACAAAATGTAGATGCATAACGTGCATAAAATAAAACAATGACATTTCTTAAACTAGGCGTATTTATAATAAAACATTCAACAAACACTGATAAAATAACAACCACGAAAATCAATCTCTTTTTTAATAGACGGTCTTTAGCGATCAAGCGATATCTACATGTCATCATAAATATTATGCATGTAAATGTAAAAGCATGCTTAAAAAAAGATATATTATATATATGTTTCTACGATCCACAGATATATATACCCTAATGAATAAAAAATATTTTTTTTTTACTAAAGATCAGATAAAAAAAAATGCTAAACAGGCATTCAGGTATATAAAACTTTTTCAATATCTACGTACTTGCAGAGCTCTCCAGATCCTTCGGTTCGACTGGACACGATTGAAAAAGTTACATTGTAATAAATTCTCAAAATTCCATGTACATATTTGCTGTCTAATTTTAGTTTAGTTTAGTTAAACGAATTTATATTCTTTGTAACAATCTAAAGAAAATGGCGAATCACAAAATAATTTATAATACAATCTATTCAATGGATTTTATCTCTAAACAAATGGATCAAACAAATATATTTTTAAACAGGTTTTGATGGCATGGTAAGTGTTGTGTTCTTTACAAATGCCTCAGACTAGCTCATCCTGTTAATAGTCATGACGGTATATTTTTTATTGTATATAATAGAAATAGATACTCTAATATAAACTCGCTGTATGAATAGTGTCATTTCGTACTGTCATATATAAATAATAATAATAGAAGTTTGTGTTCTGGATATTAGATAATTAATATAAATACTTCGATACATTTTTTTTATAAATATATAAACAATATACATAGAAAACACCCAGACGAATACAAATGATCATATTCATGAATACAAATATTTGTACCGTGCGAGGAGTCGAACCCGCGACCATTGAAAGTAAAACTATGTGCTAAACCACTAGACCACTGAGGTGACATTATTTCACGATGAACATTTCTTGAATCGAACCCTCTATGCTGAATGGCCATTCTAATTACTAGATCAGGTAGGTCGTATAGTTCATCAACTTTACTCGCGATGTAAATTTTGGTAATATTTCTTATCCTATACTAACAGGGCTATCGCATGGCACCGAGACCCTCAACACTATAGTAATAATATATATATATAGGTATAATATTACATATATCGTATTTGTGCGATTAATTCAATTCGCAATTCAGTCACCTAGCATTAATAATACATACACTATTGGGTAACATAGCGATCTGCATGCGTAAAGTATCCAATGCAGATAATGCAGGTACTTCTAGTGAACAGTGCAGCGCACTGTGCATAAACTAGTATTACTGCATATCTGTCGACCCACTGGTTCATGTATTGATGTGAATTTGGTTACGGCTAAAGTGACAGGATTTGACACCAATTTATAACTATACAAGTTGTAGTGTAAGCAGGTCCGGAATGGTTTAGAATTGCTAAAGGCCGATATAGGTGGAAATCCGGAGACTATTGCTGTATTTTGAAAAACCGATGATCAGTAATAAATGTAATTCCTGCATAGAATTCTTCCGTAATTATAGTAAACAGCAATACAGATCTATATTTATTTATAATAACTATACAGTTGCTATAAAATGTGTATTTATCAAATTTTTGTATAATATACTAGTGACCGAAATTCGCAAATTAGATCAAAATTTCTCAAAAAAGAACAAAAACTTCATTAAGATTTTTTACAAAAAATATATACATCTATCCTCATTAAATAATAACTATTTGTTAATTTTATTACATTTATGTATTTTGTTAGGACTTATGTATTATGTATGTCCATACTAATATTATAAATTAGAAGGCGTATCTGTCTGTCTTTTAAGTTTCATGACAAAACAGTTGTATGGATATTACTTAAATTTCTTAGATACATATAAGAATAGATAAAGATAGAATAGATGAAGATAGATAATATTACGAGGGCAAGCATTAGTTTTATTTAAATAAACATACAAAGTCATTGGTACCAATTATTATTATATAACTTCTTCAGGGACACTCTCTACTCTTAGACTACAGACTAATATGTATTTAACATTGAATTATTATTTTAAAGTATATGTAAGTATACATACCCAATCAGAAAACTGTAAAGTGTCCAAATGTGTGGCGGAATCTTCGGCAGCACCGAGGTCTCTCGCGCCCCCAACCCTGACCCTGGCGAGGAAGGAAGCCAGCTCCAGAGCCTCGGCTACGAGGGCCCGGCAGACCGCTCGGTAGTGGGCAGCGGCAGCATCCCGTACGCATCTCCCGCTGCCACCGCAATGCCAAACGCAGCGCTGTGAAGAAAGACAACCGGACCCTTATCAACCAACTGCATGTCATATTATTTTGTAGTATGTGTGCTGAAAGTGCATGCATATATATATATACATATATATAATAATTTATCTATCTACCTATGACTCTAACCCACACAAAACTACTATGAAAAATTTCTACAATAACTAATTAAACTCGATGAAATTCTATCCATAGAGCGAAATAGTATCAACGTTTCACACTAGTCACTTTTTCTTTTAACAAGTTTGTTATAGAATTACATGTATTTCAAAACCCGATTATTACCGAATAAAGAACCTATTTTAGCTCATTCGTATGAACAAACCAAGATTATAATTTTTCCCCTACCTACCAGTTCACTATATAGATCCAAATGAGAAGAACTAGCAAGAAACTCAATTGAATTACTTTTTATTTAAAAAGCCAATTTATTTACAATGTATATTTACAAGGTGTCCAATACGAATAATCTTTTAATTAAAACATACGCGTTAACATCTTAATTAAAGCAATAAAACAAGCATACTATAGTATCAGTTTTATCAATTCCTGCCTCATGAATAAATCGAAAACCGTATCGAATTCGCAATGAAAAAAATTGCACAAATTAACAATTTCGTGTCTGTGATTTCTTCATATGTTTAATGGTATTATTTACCAATTGCTCCGGATATGAATCAACAAGTCAAGGTACGTACCGGGGGCAATAAGACTGAGATTTCGTAAGCACCTTTTGTGAGATTAACTCCCATACAACTTAATAATGATTAGCTGACTGTTACCACCCACATAGGTCATTATAATACTGGACATAACAATTTAATTTTTGTACTTGCGACCCGCCCCGTCTTCGCACGGGTATTATAATCAACTTATACAAATACTTAATTAATTATAAAAACCTTAGTCACTCTTAATCACTCTGTTGATGGAAGAAAATCTTAAGTTATTACCAAATACCAGCCATATTTATAACATTAACACTAAATTTAAAGACAAACTAAACCAAAAAGGGGATCTTTTTGGTTTAGAAAAAAATCAATGTGCCATTTATGGGACTGAGTATAAAATTTTATTATAAGATACCAAAGGATGTACTGGTATTACCTTTGAAAAAAAAGAATATGAATAAATATTTTTTTTGATCTGATGTACAAACACATACTTGCCGTAATCGGATGAAAATTGGGGAAATCTCATGATAAATCTCTCACATGCAACTCATACTCTTAGTCTTCAGAAATTTATGAGATTAACCCGTACATACAGGAAGGCATGCATGCATAATGATATTAAAACACAAGAACGATATAAACAACCAAAGCGGTACTGTACCTTTTCTTTCATCTATTTTATAGCACCCACAATTGTAATCCATAAATCTTAAATAATACAGTGAATTACGGCTTAGCGAATATGAATTATCGATAGGCAAGGTCAGATACATATTTAACTGTAAACAGAGTTGCCGACGCGTTTGCTGTCAATAGCTGCCTTTACAGGTACAGGTCTTTCACGCGCGAATAAGTTATCTCGCAGGAGAGAATGTTAACGAAGAGAATGAGAAAAACCGCGCGCCTCCAGCTCGTGTATTCTGGCATTCTTCAATCGTGGGTGCCTTAGTACATTTTCTTAATAATTAATTGTCATTGCGAAATGACTGACATCTGACTATGAAATAAAAATATAATTAAAAAACATATAACGCCGACCGGATAATCGATAAGGAAGAAACAGATGATGACGATGGACTATTTCTAAAATTAAACGTGTTCCTGAAAAATTAATCTATGAAATAAAATATAAAAATTTAAAAGAGACAAACACACGCGAAATAATATAGAAATAAAGCTAGAAAATAGTTGAATATAATCACGGAAGTGCGCCTTTGCTTTTTTGTGCAAAATCGCAATAGCGCGAAAGAATGTATCGTGTAAAGGCGACTTATCTCTGATATAGTTGGTCGTTATCGGAAATCAATAGTAATTTATAGTGCTAGAAATAAGTGTAGAGCAATTTGACAAGTCTTAATTGTAGTTTATTTGCACGTGAAAACGTCTGTTCACTTGACGCTCGGAGTGAGTTATTTGCAAGCTTATAATTTTCGTTGACGCAGCGAAGTTGTTGATTATGTATTTTGTGTCATTACGGGAGATCCTGAGTTTTATGTATGATGATTGAATGGTACCATTCGCCTGTTAACTGTATAAACTAGGGAGGTGCCAGTGGAAACTAATATAACGAAAATGAAGTGACATCAAAGTCCAGATTGATACTTATGCCGAGATGCCAGTGGTCATCTACCACTGGCATCCCTGTAGCGTAATCATAATCAGATGGGGATGATATTAGATCAAAGTGCAAATCGATACATGATACTCGACGTTACGTAATTAACAGTAAATACAATAAATGAAGAATGTTAATAGGTATGCCAAATCGGTTGAAAGTTTTATATAATAAAGTTTGTATGTATATAAATATATTAGTTTTGGTTTTAGTCAAAAATACCTATTAGTTTTGATTTTATGATTGATTTTGTTGCCTCCGAAATGCGAGGAATAAAAAAGTAAGTTAACTTTTCGTGCTATTTAGAAAATTATTTATCTGTTTTAAAGTGTTTTGTTAAAAAAAATACCCAACTGATATCGTATTGCAAGTATTGCAACTCAAATAGGCAGAGAAGTACTAAACCTTTTAAATCTTACGTTATAGAGAACAAATGTGTGTTAGAGTTTTATATCTATAGGTACGTATGTACCTACATATGTGAATATAGGTACCTCTTTTAGTAAATTTAACTAAACCCATATATTGATTTATTGCAAATGTAGTGGGTTGAACAGATATACTAAACCTTTTTTAATTTTCATTTGTCTTATTAATAGGCCGTTTTATTTATTTTTATTTGTAACTTATTCCAAGTCGGCAAGAGACGGCTTTGGTGATGATGCTATCGGTTACATACAAGTAAAAAGAGCAGTACATTTAAAACCACGAAGTTTTAAATGTAACTTGCGATGTGCCGCCAACAGAGGCTGTAAACGTACTATATCATTTTTAATGTGGCTACATCATCGAAGATAGGACGCAAAGACTATTATCAAATATGTTGGATTTATTTGTGGTTATAATAAAAATAACTATTACTTTGGTGGTGTACGTTTCGGCACAACACATGATTTCCTAGTATTTGGTTTGGTTATATTTGTAGGTATTTATAATTTCTAATGAAACGTAAGACGACTCCGTGCTGAGAGCGCGAGTGGACAGAGCGAGTCTTGTACTATGACGTCACACCGTCACACGAGTCCGCATCGCACGTTTACTTCTATAAATCAGAAACTAATTGACGTATTGAAATAATTCTTTCACTTAAATTTTTATTTTTGACAGAGAATATGGAGAGCTAATATTCAAAATTAGTTAACATTCTTCATTGTATATGATATATATATGTACTGGTTCAGCCATTAATGCCTTTGCCCCTGTCAAAGCCACTGATTGGATTAGTTTAATTAACCAGTTTTGAAGAAGCAAAATGGAAGTCTGAAAATGGTGTTCGTTCACCTACTATAGACATCAGGACTACTAACAATTGTGATAACTGATTGTCAGCCTTATTAATCAGGCAGTTTAGCAGACAGTCTAACTTTCGATAGTCATAGGCGGGATTCTTCGTACGGTACAAACACCACGTCATCAGTATGATTGTTTGTGTTGGTCTGAGTGTTTTCTATATACATATAACCTATATATGTAGGTATTATGTACGTATATTTAAAACATAATGTTTGTATTTATATCAGTCATTGTAGTATCACAATTTTTGTTTAGCTTGGGACTAGATGGAGTTGTGTGAATTGTTCTAAGATATTATTATAACTAACCTCACTGTATAAAATAAAGATACAGGAGATAACAAAATAAAGTTAGAAAAAAGTATTTCTTTCTGTCCCACAGAAAACAGTTCCGTGATGATCAAACAAATTCAATATTCACTAGTAACATTGAAATTGTCAACACTGGAGGATGTGAGTCCACAAAGATAGTAAAGCCACCCATTTTATTATTGATGAGTCGGCGACGATCCACTGACCTACTTCATTCTACTCACAAAGACGTCACTTGGAGAAACGCTGAGGAAATTGCTCTGAAACATTTTCTTTCGCATTGTCCACTTCAAACGTATAAGTATTTTCGGAGAAAAACGTTTCAAGATACTGTATATGGGCTTTATCTAAATTAAACATTTTGTAATGTATGTAGTGATTAATAAAAATTAAATAATGGAAGTTATTGTAATAGCAAGGAAGAAAAAATTTAAGATATATCAAAAGATGTCACATGTTAGATGTATTTCATTTTGAGCGTAAAATTTAATTAAAATATATGAACTTCATTTGACGATTATATATAATAATATGTTAGGAGTGCAGATAGGTTTCTGTAATAACTAAGTGCCTGTGTAAACGTGTTAAAGTTTCAATGCTTTTACAATCATTGAAGAAAGTTTATTAATTAAAACTTCTTAATACCGAAACACAATATAATTTGCTAAAGTGTAAGCCTGTTCTACAAATTTAAGCACTCTGAAAGCGTATAAATACTTGTGATATTACAGCGTGCCCCGTTAGTATCACGTCGATAACAATTTCATTTTATTTACAGGCAATTCACATAATGGTTGGGCATTCGCCAGTTTTGTTACATCTCAAGGAAGAGAAGGTCTCAAGATGTCGGCAAACACATAAATGGGAACCGACGCATTGTGTCATTTAATGTTCTATTTTATTATTTCAATCTCCTAAAAACTGTACTCGAAATGTCCTAAAAATACAGAATGTTACAACACAGACTTTCAGTTGTCTAGTGCCTTTAACACAAGTTATGTTTTTCTTGGGACTAGATAGCGCTGTGTGAAATCTCCAGGGTTATTAGTACTATTATTGATGAGTAGAAATTCTCATTTATCGTGACAGTACTTTAATTATAATATATATTTATATATAATAATAATAATAATAATAATCTTAGGACAATTCACACAGCGCCATCTATTATTGATGGGTACTAGTAACTGATACAAATACACAGATATTTTTTTTTTTTTTTGTAAATACATACATATTATATATAGAAAACACCCAGACCGATACAAACAATCATACTCATGAATACAAATGTTTGTGCCGTGCGAGGAATCGCGGTCGTAATCGTCAATAATATATAAATGTATATATATTTCACATGTAAAGTATATCACTTAGTCATAAATAAAGAAGAAAACATGTTAACATATTTCAAACATTTTATACGTCAATAAATTTAACAGGTCATGCTACATTTTATTCAAGGCTAGATTACACGCACTTTCTACATTAAAGCTTACTTTCAAACTATAAACAAACACGTATGGAAAGCAAAGCTCGTCACTTATTATCGTAAAGTTATAATCACTTGGATATCAAATTCACTTAGTCCAGTTATGCTCAACTCACGGGCATCATAAGCAGTTTATGCGGGCCCAAGTTGAGCATCCCGGCTAATAAGTAAACATGATTACTTTATCCTAAATATTTTTCACATATGTATTATATTGTTTATTAAGATTATACAGACTAAAACAGTTGTTACAATTAAAGAGTTACATGACAACAGGTAGATATTATTACTTACGATTACTTACGACCCAAATTTTGAAACCTGAGATTGATATTATTTGTATTTGTAACTAGCTTTTGCCCGCGGCATCGCTCGCGTTAATTTATCCCCTTAGGGGTGGTATTTATCAATATCCTTTCTTAGGGAATGTCTACATCATAATAGCTTTATGCATGCAGTCTCAGCCCGATCGGTTTAAAATTGACAAAATTTCATACAAAATTTTATCCCCTCGGGGGTAGAATTAATCAAAATCCTTTCTTAGCGGATGCCTACGTCATAACATCTACTTGCATGCTAAATTTCAGCCCTATCCGTCCAGTGCTTTGGGCTGTGCGTTGATAGATCACTATGTCAGTCACATTTGAGTTATATATATATAGATGACTAAGTCTGTATAATTTATAACATTAAATTAACAAACCACTTTTATACAATAAATTTCATTTCCTCACTTTACCACTAACATTTAAAACATTATTCCTAGACATTAAACATACGTATTAAATTAAATTAAATTAAATATATGCATAGGTACAAGGGTCGCACAAGTATACGACCCTAAAATGATCAATAGTTGAGAAAAACTGTCTACAAGTGCATCAGAGACCTATAAAGCGTGAAGCCGGTCCCAGTTATCCCTATAATAACTTCCTAATAAGTGATATAGTGAAAGTAGATGTCATGGCGACCTCAAGTGATGGTGTGATGCAATACACGTCACAAATTCTATACTGATGGTTCCAACGGAGTGACTTTGACAGTGTATTTAGTAATGCGACCACATGATTCTAGTTACGGCACCTTTAGTAGCACCCTGTAGTTTTAATGGGTAAAATTCCATACATCCTACCCGTTACTGTTATCCTACACGTTATTCTGTATGTGATTGATAATGGTGAAGATTTTATAAATATTAAAAAATGTCTGTACTGTTGGCTCGTTTTATAGTAGAGAGTATGTTTATGGATTACAAAATCACAAGACCTTTAAACCAAATATATGCTCTATAACATCATAGTATGTATATAGTAACGAAAGAAATTTTAAAATGAAAAAAGAATTGATTGTTTGTATGTAATGGATAACCAAAAAAATATTAGACTTTGGTTATTCAAAAAATTCTAGATAGGAAGCTGCGTTGTGATTTACTGAATATAATTTTCAACAAATTTAGAAAACTTGTACACTCGTGTAAAGCAGCGGCGTGTCTTTAGTATTAAAAAAATGGAGGATACACTACAAATAAAGGGGGAGAGGGGGATGGCGTTGTTAGTAATAGAAACTAGTGGTCTCATTAAAAGCAATGACCACGTTGACCTCCACGCGGTCCCCCTGAATATCATCGTGGTTTATTCCTAGTAAATTTGTACCCCACCAGCCCACCAGCGTATACCGTCTTCCAGCATCATATCATCATTATCCATTAGAAAAAACACAGAGACAGACAAATAAGCAGTTATTGTCAAGTTTTTACGATGTTATATACGTAATGAAATTATCATTTATTTCACTGGCAAGTTGTAATTTGATAGAAGTTCGTGACATATCGCCATTCAGTAGAGCCCCTTACATTTTTTACTGTTAGTAATTTTTTCGGTACAAAATATACGCGTAGAATAATTCGTAGAATATTGTTTTTTTATAGCCGTTGTAGATCGAGTTTTTATGTTACAATTTAATATGCATTAGAAATACAAAGGGTTTTTTTATGATCTTCAACAACTTATTATTGCGTACGACGCGACGTTCTAAAAATACATTTCAATAATAAACTAATCTGCATATTAGTTTGTTATTGGATTGATTTTCTTTACAATTATAATTAATTTTTATTTCATTTCAATTTTATTAAATTTTATCAAACTGGAAACCTACTCTGCTGCATACCCTTATATTATTGTATAGTGGTTTTCTTGGCTTCCTTTAGCCTTTAAGTTAACCTATCAACAAATTCTTTGAAAATTACGTAGTAGTTCCACCAGCCCTTTATACGATTAAACTTTAACATGCAAACGGGCAAACAAAAAAACACTATAAGTTGTAGAGTGTTAGCTCATTTGTCATTTTATTTACATTAAAATGGAAATTGCCAAACTGCGAATTGGCTCAAATATAAAAATACTTCCGAAAGCAATGGTCACAAATCTTGTTTCAGAATTCAACTAAATATTATCTTCAGGTTGTTAAATAAATAAATAATGAATACTTACTTCTACAACATCCCGGAGTGTGAACGTCCTCCGGTTACGTCTGCGCCGCGGCGCCGGTTCTGCATCTCTCTCAATACCCTCGTCGTCAGTGTCCGCGCGCCCGCACTCCGAAGTCTCTGACAGAACTCCGCATTCTTCATCATCATCTGCAATGATGAAAAAAATTTAAAGTTCTCTACAAAATTTCATGCTAATATTTAAAAAGTAATTGTATAGTTCGGTTACAAAGGAGTTTTCCCCAGCGCACACTCAGATTATTTTATATACAGCAAGAGATTTTTTAAGAAGGATATTTTGTTTTTTTATATAAAGCAAATACGAATTCTCAATTATTAGCCGAAATGAAAATGATATGAAGCAACTAATTGTGCAAGGTTAATTTTAGGGCAAACATTCTTGGGGTCGATCACCAATGTCAAAGTGGCTACACAGCATTCTGTTGTGAAATGTTCTCGTACAGCCAAAAAGCGTACCAGAGGAAACAAATGTTGGGGAACTCTATCACCCAAGAGGACAATGATGAATATCCACTGATATCATCATGAAAGCCACGACCACTCTGTCAACAATGTACGACTGAAGCAGAAGAATTCTATACAAGCGCATAAAGTTTCAGCGAATGAGTCCGCGAAGACCTTGACCAGCACGTGTGGTCCGATTAGAGTTGCACGATCACACGTCGATCACGATCCGCTACAGTTATTGACACCGACGCCGTGTCGCGTAATCTTGCGCAAGCGCATGTACGCCGGCGCTTTGTGCGCTCGCGCCGCGTCCGCTCAATCGAAAGGCAAAGCTCCCATTCTTGACATTGTTTGCGGGTTAATGAGTCAACAGTTATAGCAATTGTATAGGTGGATGTCGTGCGAACTTTTTAATTGCAGCCCTAATTGTTATCTATTAAAGGTGTAATTGAGTTGGTACTTAAACACATTCACTTTACTCATTGTTCTAGTTTTAAATTAAGATCCTCTGTTTTGGTGATGAAAAGTAAAGACAACGTTGTAATTATAATGATATATTGAGGTAGCGATAGATAAGGACTCTGAACTTACGCTTATATTTTTATTCTTCTCTCTATTGTCTATTATTATTAGATGTATAGTCAATGTGACTGTAATGTTATATAAACAAAAGCAATACTTGTATATTGCAATTTAAAGTTGATAAAAACACAATTTGGTAATGTTAATTTCAGCTTACAAGACGGTAATGGATTCCTAACCATAATAACAAATTATCGTCGTGCTTTGATTCCTACTCATAAAAGAGGATCTACTATTATCATGCTGATTAGGCAGCTTGGTTGGTACAGAATTATCGAGTTATAATTGTGTTGTTTGTCAACTTTTCACGATTAAACGACAGACCGAATATTGATGACATTTAACTTTAAGATTGATTGTATACGGATATCATTAATTAATGAAAAAGCTTACGTCGTGTGCACCAGCTAGTCTAGTAACTTTAAAGATTAAAACGGATAAGTATATTGGGTGGATATTATAAAGCTTTGTAAATTTTTATTAGTGTACCATCGAAAACATTTTTATTCATTTTGAATATTTTTGATTTTAGCTATAATTTAAGAACATTCGTTTTATAAATTTTAGCTCGTTCGCATAAAGACTTCAGTAGATCTTGTTACGTATTATTTTTCTATAAATATATTAACATTTACTATTATTACGTATTCTCCATTACGTCAGCTTGTCAGAAGTATGCCACTGCATTTATGATTTCGAAGCAACAAATGTCTAATTTAGTCACGAAATTTATTTATTATTGACACTGAGTGATCGAACGTTTGAATGCTAACACATTAATGGTCTAATATGCATGTGCCATACATACATTGAAACGTACCTGTTACACGCAAATAGATTCTATAAATCTGCATTTATTTGTGCAATAGAAAACATAAGTACCTACGTAAAAATATATGTAAATATATTACTATATAATTTCTTAATCCCTGTTTGCCTTATGGTTCACTGGGAGAAGATGCCTTAAGGTGTTAAGTACGTTATATGCGCCTCTATTTTTGTATCTGTGTATTAAAGCTTTAATAAATTATCCAAAAACAAATAGGAATCTATACTTAAGTCAAAATGTGATAATGGAATTTCTCTCCAGTCTATCCTTAGCATTAGGTACTCGTATACTCGCATAAATCTGAAATCGAAGTAATAATTTCATTCCCATACTCGTATCTCACGCTTCAAAGGAAAACCAAGCTCAATATTTCATACAACCTTCGATTATATTAACTGTGATTAAAGTACCGATCTATTTAAATGTCTATACCAAATTATAGCTATCGATAGCACATTACAAACTCACTTCATGTCCATTATTCTAATATCCTACGGATATATTTAATTATATGTCGTGATAATCAAATGGGCGATTTGCGTATATTAGTTTCTATTGCTATTACAAAGTCATAGAATTTGATGGCGACTCGCTATGTCATGCGGCGCCAAGCTTTCTTGTCTCATAAATATAATTGGTCAGGGAGGAAATCAGGGCGTGGAAAGTACTAATTTAGTACTGTGTATTAATTATTTAAATTATTACTATGGGAACAAAGTTGTAGAAATGCGATTTATTTGTCAGAGTCATATCTCTTAATCCTAAATAAATTTTCTTCCGTAAAAGCTATCTCCTGTTGGAGGATAGCGCTCGATAAACGTAGGTTACCGTTGAAGTGGGCTTTAGAAGGCTTAGACCTAGTACTGCATAAATGTTTGAAGAATATTTTTTTAATTATGTACAAACAATATGATTTTTTTTACGATATATTCACTATTCAGAATATTTGTCTTCTCAAACATAACGCACGGCTGTTCTGAGAAATATCTTGGCCTATTTATCTTTCAGTTTGATTTTTGTTGCCAAAAAATTTAGTATTGAAGTATATAAATTTTTTTTTTTCGAAGACGTATGTATATTCCAATCAATACACTGTCCTATATTATTTCAATGTTTGGTAGAAGAAATCATTTCTAATTCATCTCATCTAAGTATTTCACCATTTTAAAATTTTACTTTCTTTGTGCACTAATGAATAAATAAACTGGTTTTGCAATACGACCCTGACAGTTCATACACAAATAGCCATAAACTGCGCTAGTCGTTGCGTAATGGATTTATGTGTATTCTCTATAGGCTATTATACGACCTAGGGTTACTAGCCGTCCATGTTTTGCATATTTTCATTCAAAGGCGATTGCGGTAAGTTCAACCCATTCCATGTTACAATTTTATGGAAGTGTCATTCAAAGCAAAGTGAGTAAATTTCAACCTTTTCCCCCTCCTTTTTATGAGGTACTGGAAGCGATATCTGTGACTGCCTAAATCAGACTATACATGTACAAAGTATTAAATGGCCCATTAAATTTATTTAAATTGATAGAAAATCTGGACCTTTCTATTTGTCAAATAGTAAAGTTGATATAAATATCATATAAAAATAATAATTATAAGAGGGCTCTAAGTCCAGAATTTAATAAAACTTGGTAACCCTTACAGTGAGTCACACTCACAATATCTTCGGGTATAGTTTTGTGACAGCATTGCCAAACAATTGTTGTATATATCGACATGATCACAACTTCGGTGTCAGAAGTATGGACCGATGAATATAATGTTATTTTCGAAACATCAACATTATATTTACTTCTGTATTAAACTGATTAGAATAATAATAATATTTCATACTAAAATAAATTAATATGGTAAGTACAATTTCAATTAATATAATTTATAATTAATAATAATATAACTTAGTTTTTAGTACTATTATATTATTTAATGTCAGTTATAAAACATGATTACAATATGATAATTGTTCTTGCAAAAAAATATAATGTACATATCAGTCAGTTAATTAGTAAGTATAAGTATGTATTAGTATGTACATTTTATGTACTAATTATTATATTGTAATGTATTTTAATAGTGTACGAATTGTGTGAATTTTATGGAATACTAGCTACTCACCCCGACTTCGCCCGGGTGTACATGTATTATACATATAAACCTTGCTCTAGAATCACTCTATGTATTAAAAAAAATCCTTCAAAATCCATTGCGTAGTTTTGAAGATTTAAGCATACATAGAGACGGACAGACAGCGACAGCGATATGTAATTATAGTGATGCATATGTGCATCACAAAAACGAACAAAAAGAAAAATTGTAATGTGTTAGATTTAAAATTTCTCTTTTCATATAATGTACAATTAATCTAGAATGTTTTTTTGCAATACAACTAAAATATCTTCATTTGTGTCGTGTCGGGTGTATTGCAGGCTCTTATCATATGTCAAATCTACTCTACTCGCTGATCTGAAATAGTTATTAACATCTGGCAATTCTTTTGTAGACTCCCGTGATATAGGTTCGCCTAGTACGGGGTCCAATGTATAATCAAATTTGTATGTTTGAAAATAAATAAAGAAATAAACTATAGCAACTGCTACCGATGATCAATAAAGTCTAAACGAAATATGTCAAATAGAATTCAAATAACTACTTGATAGACATTGAACGCTACAAAAAGCAGTTAAGAGTCGGAAACGGGCCGATAACAGGTCGTCTGTAACAGAGCACGGAAAGACGTTATTTCTAACGTGGGAGACAATAAATAACTGTTAACCATTCTCTGTTCAGATGTACTCGTGTCTTCCCATGGAGGCTGCGTGGATTGCAGTGTGTGCTGCGCTCGTGCATTTTGTTTTTAGTCATGATGCTATGATAAATTACTGTTACTGAAGCTGTACGTAGTAACATACGCAAATAATATCTATTACATATCTGACGTCCTCGGTGGTCTAGCGGTTTACCACATATTATTTCCGATGGTAGTGGGTTCGATTCCTCGCTTGATACAAATATTTATATTCATGAAAATTACGTTTGTATTGATCTAAGTCTATGATATTATACAGTAGCTAGGCTCGCGGTTTAACCCGCATGAAATTTATAGCGTATGTAATGTATAAGTTACTATGTACTATATACTACATTACTATGAATTTCATCAAATTCCATTTAGTGCTTTTTGCGTGAAAGAGTGACAAACATCCATCCATCCATCTACATATGCATAAATACCCACAAAGTTTCGCGTTTATAATAT